ATATGGCAAATTAGTATTAAATAAATAGATTTAAAAATTATGAACTTAAACTGTAATTATATTTATTTTATTTTCAAAAACTATGCAAATAAAAACATTATTTATAAGTGGTTACTGCTGTATATTTGTGCTGTTTTTAGCAAGGTAAATATTTTTGTTAAAATAATTGTTGTTTAATAATTTATTTAGGATATGGTAGGTTTAATAGATAATTATAAGTTAATGGTATAAACTAACATTACACAGAATATGCACTTGTTATGTGCCTTATCTGGCTCACTTATTGCTCTCATGTATTTTTAATACACTGCCACAGATGTGATTATATCAAATTACCTAGGTAATAATAAAATAAACTTTAAGAATATTATATAAGTAAACAGGCAAGCAAACTTTTTAAAAAATTAATTTGATAAATTTATGTTTTATTTCAATAAACTAAAAACTAATTATGTATCATGCAACTATTTTATTGACAATATTTATATACACTATTTTGTATAGTGTTTATACATTTGGTAAAATAAATATCGTTGTGTTAAATTAATTATTAAAATATTTTTAATATTTCTAAGAATATGATTACGATGACAATACCTTATATCCCGGTGCTAATGGACTACCACCCGTGGGCCAAAAATATGGTATCAGCTATAAGTCTATTTAAAACTATTATTTAAAAAGATTATAATAATAAATAAATAAAATTAATTTTACAGCTTTCACGCCATACATCACCACAAACATGACTGTATGGAAGTCTATGAAATGTACTGGCTCAAACGTAAGTCATGTACAGTTAAATAAAACATTCACGATAGACGTGACATGCAATGGTTACCACTCGTGGACTGCCAGCCCTGTCTACAATATAATTGTGCATGGTCAAGTAGAGAAAATGTCCATTGATAATTTATCAGTTTATTTTAGCTATTTAAATGGCAAGTTATATTTAAATATCATATCATGAACAGTATATTATGCAAATCAACAATTTATATTTTAATTATAAACTAGGTAATATGTACGAAGTAAATACGGGTACAGTGACCGATGGCCGGTGCAAAGGGGACGTGTTTTTCTCAACCAATGTCTATGTGGCCGATGACCAGTACGGGTGCTCCGGTGGTAAGGGGTCGGCATCTCTCACCATAGACTACATCTACGGACATATAACCGGAACCAAGTGCCCATCCACTTGTACCCTGGACACTGTGTTCATTAAGCTTAACCCACCTATCTCAAATAATTGATTTGTTTAACTAATGTTATTAAAAAATTTTATTAATTAATGTATTAAATTGACAAATAAATTATTTTATCAGACAATTTACTAACTTAAATCAATAATAAAAATGTCAATATTTTTAGATAATATTTTAAAAATAATTATTTATCCGAACCGATTAAATAAAATAAGAAGCAAGTATGTTTAATCATATTTATTATTGTAATATGATTAAAAATATTACAAATATTGTATTAATATAAATATAATTCTTTATCTTGCTATTTATAATACGGCAAATTAGTTTTAAATAAATAGATTTAAAAATTATGAACCTAAACTGTAATATTATTTATTTTATTTTCAAAAACTATGCAAATAAATAATATTTCTTATAAGTGGTTATTTAATTTGTGCTTTTTTAGTAAGGTAAATATTTTTGTTAAAATAATTGTTTTTAATAATTTATTTAGGATATGGTAGTTTTATTTTATAATTATATGTACCCTAGACACTGGGTTCATTACGCTTAACCCACAAATCTCAAATAATTAATATAACCATTGTAAAATTATGCTTGTTTGTTATTGTATTTCTCAGATTTATTATTTGACATGGCTAACTTAAATTAATGAATAAAATGTTTGAGAAATTTTATAAGAATATTTAAAATTTATTATTAATTCAAAATGATTAAATAAAATATTCAATAAATATGCTTGATACAAATTCTATGAAAGCTTGTAAGTAAATGTTAATTAAAAATTAATATAAGCTATTAGTAAAAATTCCAACAAAACTGTAATATTTATTATTTTAAGATAAACGCCTATGAAATTTAATAATAGTATTAAATAAGCGGATTATTTGTGAATTAGAGTAATTTTTATATAATCTTAATACTTAATAATAAACATTTATTTATGACAGTTTATGTTTAATAGTTTTATTATTATATGTTTATTGTAACAAAAGTGATATAATTTACTCGGGATAAGCACCTCTTACTTGTTTTATCTAGTTCAATAAATAGTTAACCAACGTCTTAATTTATTTATAATAAATTTTATATTTTACTACATATATAACTTATCAAATTATACATTTATTTATGGCTATAAATATTTAATAATTTAATAATTATATATTTATTATAATAAAAGTGATATTACTGTACAAGGGATTTGCACTTGTTATGTGCTTTACCTAGCTCACTTATCTTAATACAATTTTGATTTTGTGTAAATAATCATAAGTATTCAAGGTAATTATTAGGCAATGCTTAAAAACATTTAATATAAAAGCAGCCAAATTATAAATTTTAAATATATAATATTAGCTAATAAAACTTATATGTATAATGTTTTAAATGTTTATACAGTTGGTATAATTAATAAATGTTTTAAATATAATATAACTTTTAATAATTTAAATATGTTTAGACCATCACGACTTTTTCTATACCTTATACCCAGGTGCTAATGATCTGCCACCCGTTGGTCAAAAATACATTAGTAATATTTTAGCCCATTTAATTTATTTTTTAAAAACTATTAAAATAATTTATAAAATAAATTAATTTTACAGTTTTCACACAATACATCACCACAAACATGACTGTATGGAAACCTATGAAATGTACTGGCTCAAACATAAGTCATGTACAGCTAGATAAAACATTCACGATAGGTGTCACATCCAACGGTTACCACTCGTGGACTGCCAGCCCAGCCTATTAGGTTTATAAAACATTATAATGATTGTCGTATGAGGAATTCATCTTGAACAATATTTAAATTGTATTTATGATTAATAATTCTTAAAATATTGTTTTAAAATTCGTTATTTAAAAATTGTAATTTTTTACGGACCCGTTGTAAATTATATTATTTGTTTAGTAACCTGACAGTAGGTTTTGTTAAATTTAAAATTGATCTTTATTAATTTAATTAAATTCGCACCCCTTATACAACAAAAGTATCATAAGAGATGCTATCTAATACAAATTAATAAAACATATCAAATATTTAAAACATAATTAAAAATAATTAACAATACTAAAAAGTTAAGAATATATACTTTTACAAAATAATATAAAATGAGCAAACAATTTATATGAAATAAAAGCACAGGGTAAGCTCAATTATCGCAAACTTGAGATTCTTTCAAATGAAAGCGCTTTAAGTAATAGCTATTATTGCCATGATTTGTGAGAGCTTGACAGCACAATATATACACAAAGCATTATTAATGAATCCTTTATTTTATACATTGAATTAGCAAATATAAGTGTTAATTATTAAATTATATTATAATGAATCTGTGGTTTAATTACCTTGATATATCATAGATGGTTTAGAGTTTAAAATAAACTTTAACCATTTGTTTAAAGCATTTATTGTGTTTGTTAATCATTTATTTATTTGAAAAATATTGTAGTATTAGAATAAAAGGCCGTATGCTACTTCTAAATTAAAAATAAAGTATATTTATAGCAATGTGATTAATTGCAAAATTAATTGCAATTATTTTCACATTTATTTCTCGTATTCATCGACAGCTGGGAAACTGTCCAACAGTTTCATGAATGGCGTGAATATACTGGTCGGTCGTACGTAACCCTTATTGGTGTCCATACGGGGGATGTCGGCCAACAGTTGTACGCACTTTCCGGTGGACGACCAGTGCTCGGCGCACATCATATTGATAGCCGGCTCCACGTTTTGCATGACTGCCCTCTCGGCCCACTCGACGGTGTGTTTAGTGCAGCCCCGGGTGCTTATCGTGGCGTTGTATATGCAGGTCCGGTACCGGTAAGCGTTACTGAATTTAATAATTAATTTTTTAATAATAATTTAATGGGGTTGCTAAAATAAATTTTAAGTGTAAGTAATATGTGGTTATTTAGTTGCGAACCCAATGGTATTTTAAATTTTAAACCTCATGTAGTTTCACTTATTTTCTGTTATAATTTACAGTACTTGGTAATATTATTCATACGAAAATTATTGTAACTTTTATAAATATTATGATAATTATAGAAGAAACTAAATTTTAAATAATTTAAAATTGTATTTATCAGTTAATAATATTTTAGATATGTTATAGAAATATTTCTATAATTTAAAAAAGGATTAAGCCGAGCCATTCCGATTTCAAGTATATTATTTCAGTATAGTAACTAGACAGTAGATTTTTGTGCAATTTACAGTTTGCGTTTACAAAGTGATTAAAATCTACTTTAAATAATAAAATTAAATCTCCCAGACACATTACATACCAACAGCCCATTCGTATGCGTTGGGTGTCGGGCGCCTCCACTATACCCATAATCCTGTCCACGAACTCATTGGTGCACTCAATGAGCTTAGGCTCCGCCCTATTGCCACATTTCGCCGCCTTTACGTACTCTTGCATAAGAGGGGTAGGGCTCGTGAACAGGGACTGGGCCTCAGCGCCACAATAAGGCTGGAAGCTTGTGCCAACACTACCGGCCATCACCTTGATCAATAGTTTACCAAAATCGGACAGACAGCTCTCGAGATATCCATATATGAAGGGCGCCTCCCTCATGGCCGACGAGCACCATTGCCTCAGTTGGGCACCGGTTTCCGGTATGTGGTCCGGGAGGCCGAGTGTAAACATACGCTGCACTATACGATCCATACGGTCGTGGGCTGACTGGTCGCACCGGATGGTCCGGTAGCTGTCCATGAGTGCCATGACGGGTGCGAACAGGGATTTCGGACGTACGTATGATTTGGGATCCAGTGTAGGGGTTTTGCCCATAAGTTTTTCGCACCGGGCGTTTTGGTCGAAATAGTCGCCGCACATGTCGGTGCCCGAGACCATCAAGTTGTCGACGGCTTTCCGGTGAGTTTTGGTGCACTGTTTGGACTTACGGACAGTCCGTTGCGCGCATGTCATGAATTTGTAGGCGTGGCTAAAGTCATAATATAATAATTAAAATCATTTTTCAAGTAAACTATATTCATATTTAATTATATAAATAAAGTTTTAATTTACGTTATTATTAAAATACTGTAAATGAAAATAACTTATTTAAATAACTAAATATTAAAATATTTGTCCAAATTTTTGGCCATTATTTATAGTATTAATTATTTTTTAACTTTTAAAGTAAAACACATAGCTAACTTGTATAATTAATTATATTTAATATAATCCTAAAAATTAATATATCATTTTGTATTTATCTTGAATTTTATATAATTTATTTACAAGGGACTGTAATTTAAAAACTGTAATAACCAATTGTATATTCATATAACTAGGTAATATATCATATTAATAAAAAATTCTGGCCATGGTAAAGAACATTTTAAGTTTTTTAAACTGTTATTTTAAATAATTTGTTTATAGAAATACAATGATTATCACAAAAAATAATTTATGGAAAATATTTCAATTTAATTATTATAATTCTAAAAATTGTATCCTAATCATAATTAAATATTATTGCTAATTTATTTAAATTTTTTATTTTAAATCACACTGATATTAAAATAATTTAATTAAACATACCAACATCCCATATTCATACGATCCCTTTCCCCCACTTGTGGCAACACCATAAGCACGTCCACAAAATCCTTGGCACAGGTAGTCATCTTATTACCCGCAATATTCCAGCACTTGTTACCGGCAAAAATCTCCCTGATCATGGTCTCATTAGCACCGGGCTTACACACATTTTTGTAGGTCTTTTTAGTCTGAGCCGTTAACTCTTTAGCCATTATGGGTCCAAATGTACCGGCGCATGATTTTAGGTAGGTGCTTAAACTTTCTGATGTCAGAGCACTGGTAGTACAGTATTTACCAAGCTGCCTGTCCGACTCTGGTAGCTTTATGTCGTTGAATAGTATGGGGAATACGGTGGCTATCTGTTTGTCAATTGTGCTCAGGGTCTTTTGATCGCATTTCACTTTATTTGTGGCCACACGTTGACCACTGGTGTAAACTAAAATAATTTTTAAAAATAATTTCAGTTAATTGTGCTGTGTAAAATAAATTATTACATTATAAATTAATACACAAACATAAAATTATATTCTACTTCTTAAGTTAAATTTTGCAATTATTTAGTAATCAAGGTCTATTTATGTATAAAATATTTCGATTAACTTTTATTGTTTAATTATAGTATATTTTGTTTAAAATTATGATTTTTTTACTTTAAATTTTTATAATAAAAATGTTGTCTCTGAATCAAATAAATTTGTATATTTGATTGAGATTAAAGTAAATATCTTAATTTTATTTTCTGTACAGTCTTTTAAAAATTAAACATAGTTATAATCTGGTGTGTTTAAATTGATATTCAACAATAATATTTATTTATTGTAAAAAAGAAATGTCATTTCATGTTAAGTAATATATTATACAAAAATTATTTATTTTAAAATTATACTTATAATTTAATTTATATTCAATATAGTAAATTCTTTGTGTACATACCGATTAATATTAAAAATATGCATGTTGAATATACACAACGCATTTTTGTTTTTATAATTATATCCAAATAATATTTTTAGTAAATCCTTTGTTTCTTACATAGGATTTAAAATATAAGATTTGCTTATAATATAAATAGTGAATCTGGAGTTTAATTACTAGCTATGGGTTGAGAGAGAGAGAGAGAGAGAGCTATAATCGCTTACCTGACGTAAAAAGCCTTGAAATACAACATTATAATTATATTCAAGATATAGTATATTATAAACAAATTTAACGACGATTTGTGAAAATACAGGTTTTCTGTAATTAACTACACATTTACTCTCTCTCTCTCTCTCTCAACCCATAGCTAGTAATTAAACTCCAGATTCACTATTTATATTATAAGCAAATCTTATATTTTAAATCCTATGTAAGAAACAAA